ATCATGACCGTGCCATTGCCGATAACCGATAGCATTGCTGCAGGGCAGCAGAGGAAGTTAAACTGCACAATTATGGTAGCACCGTTCATGACACACAAAGTGTGGCCCACATGTAAAAGGCGCAGAGGTCAGAGCTGACCATAATTAGACAGATAGCAGCTGAACAGCTAAAACGGTATTAATTCATCACATTTTCTGGCTTGTTACTTTTTAAAATTAGACCTATAGTATAGCTGTCCTACAGTTCTTTTTTTTGTTTGTTTGTTTAGGTGTTAAATATTTCATCTGTCTTCCCTTCGGTCTTCACCATGCACTGCATACACACTGTGGAGAAAAAAAAAAGTTAACAAGATAAGCCAGCATCTGCAAATGAAAGTCACATAATGGGGTTTTAAAAATCCATCCAGCAGTCAAAAGTATCTTCTTCTGTTTTCTCTCACTTGATGCTGATGATGGATTAGTGTAGCTGCTCCACGCTCATTAACTTCAAAGCATACAGAATTCTGGGTGTAAACTTGTGTTTGCACGCCCCTGCATGCCCAGACATGTCTTTCTTACAAATATTGCTTATATGTGAAGGTGCTATTTGAAGTTTATTATGAACCTTATAATAATGATATTGATTTCATGCATCAATTGGTAAATGAAATAAAATTCACCTTGAGTTATGAGCTATTGCGCTTACTTCGATCATTGTTGATCCACGACATCGTCGCTCATCAGCACAACCCTATCACACAGCACAGTTGCAGACAGGCAGGTACGCAGCCCCTCTCCTTGCTAGCAGGTAAGGTAGCTGACCTTCAGAACGATGAACAACACTTTGAGGGATTTGGAGAGGTCACTGATGCTCCCGTTTATACATCACGGAAGCATTAAATAGCACATGATAACGTTTGTCATTTAACTAAGGCGTTTGCTGGCTAGCTGCTATATATATAATAAAACAATAATGTTAATGGCGCAGCCCAGCGCATCTGTAACATTAATAAACAGTGTTAGTTTAGTAGGATAACAAACTAATTTGTGTTCAAAAGCAGAGGCACCACTGTTACTGTATTTGTGGATAACTCTGAGTATTGATCTGAGTATTTGAGTATTGAGTATTTTCATGGGTGTTAATTCTGAGTTTGAAGTTCTAAGTTGCAGTACATGCAGTACACAGCAAAAATGTACATTGCTGAAAGTAAAATGAGTTAACTGACTTCTTGGAGGAATTTAATTTTCAATGACGAATCCAAACTGTTAAAGTTAAAGAAAATATAAGTGACTGAAACTTCTTCCACAGTAGTTTTGCACCTTTAGCTTTAACACATTGTGTTTGGTTTCACGTGCCAGTCAAGATGTGTTCAATCATTTTGACTTTTACTTTAGCTTCCCTGTATGCATGTGCATACAAGCAGTGCAGTGCATATACATGTATGCACATATGGGTAAAGCTAAGCTGAAATGCAGACTCAAAACTCTGATGTGGTCAGTGGATGTTATGTTAGTTGTACATTTTTTTACTGATGTTTCAGACCTTTTTTTTACCACTTAGATATTTAAATGACTGACTTTTAGAAACTTCTTGTGTGCAACTGTATTTAGAGTTAAAAAGTTTGAATCATGTAACTTGACATGTAATTTGACATGTCTTTCAAAGTTAGATTCATGAGACTTGCAGTTATCAGAACTTCTTTGCAGCCAAATCGTGTGTGTATTTTTCTTTTGATTTCTCTGGCTCAAGCACATAAATATCTGCGATGCAGATAACTGAGACAGCCACTACGCATAGTTTGGGAGTGAAGTAAATTCAGCAAAACAAACTAAACAAAGCGTTTTATCTCAAGACACAATCCAGTAAGCCCATTTGAATCTTTTTTTTCCTTCCTCTGCCTTCTCAGTTTCCCCCACTGAGCTATTTGGCAGTTTTGCTATGTCCCCCATGTAATTAGTCATAGTTTTTCATATGAGTATCTGGAAATCTGTTTGTAATAAGACAGATTTTATGTTAGTCTGAGTGAGTCAGACTCACTTGCTCCGACTGTGCCATGCTCCTCTTATTTCTTACGGAATTTGAAAGTGAGATGTAAACACATACATACTGTAGTAGATTCACCTATTTACATTAACATAACCCTAGTATTACGACAACTCATTCACTGTATAGCACTCATAGTAAGAATTTTCTTCCATGAAGATGTCCAAGAAGGCAAATAATGCATTATTTATATATATGCATTATTTATAGATATATATATCTTCCTTATGAAAGAAGAAGGAAAAACTTTGGGAAATTTAAGGAAGAATAAACACCCAATCCAGCTATAAATGAGTGATTTTTCACAACCCTGCTCCAATTCTCAAAGAGAAAGACATAACAGCAAAGAAGTAAAATGACCATATAGTTAGAGTTAAAGTTCATGTTACATGTTCTGTGTACTACACTTAGCATATGACTTTGCTGTTAAATGTAATTCAGTTTTATGCCAGTCTACTGACTGATGTTAATATTGCTTTCCGTCTGTTATGCTGCTGCATTTTCCTTTCTTTGTGTTCTTTCCTTTCAATCTGCCTTTTTATACTATACTAATCAGTTTTTGTGTGTTTTTTTATACTACTAAGCATTCTGTCCTTCTGTAAATCCAGTGACCTGCCTCTCGATCTCACCTCATCTCCTTCTGTCTACCAGGACCTCCTTCAGCTCCCCGGAACGTAATCTCTTCCATCAATGAGACTTCTGTTATCCTGGAATGGAGCTGGCCTGAGGACACCGGAGGGCGCAGGGATATCACCTTCACTGTCCTTTGCAAACGTTGCCGTGCTGTTGCTGCTAATGGCAGCAGCAGTGGGACCCAGCGCTGTGAACCTTGCCGGAGCAATGTTCGCTTCCTGCCAAGAGCCATGGGACTGCACAACACCACAGTGACGGTTGGCGACTTGTTAGCCCACACTAACTACACATTTGAGATTGAAGCACAGAACGGTGTGTCATCGCTGGCACCAAAGATGAGACAGTACGCTGCCGTCACCATCACCACCAACCAAGCGGGTGAGATGTCATGATGTATGGGTGGCTAGCTAAAGATATGAGCTGAGACGATTGACTATACACAATAACAGCAATACTTTTGAACCATTTTGAATATTGATTGAAAGTTGTCTGCGTATAATCAATAAAAAAGATAGATCACTGATGTAAAAACATAGGCCCATTCTCCAACAACAAAGAAAAAATAGCCTCTGGCAGATCTTAGGTTAAGCAGGTTGGTCATCTCATGCAGGTTGCAAGATTTTGCTTATCTCTATTTTTAGCTGGTCTGAGGACTGGGAACTATGGAGTGGCTGATTCATGCATGAAGAAAAGTGCATTTAATACAAGTGTATTATATATGTAATAACAAGTACTGTGTGTAAATAAAAAAAATAGCTACCATGTTGATAACATACACAAGCTTCTCCTCCTCCTCCCCCTGTGCTTCTGAATATTCTCATAAAATAATACCCTAGCCTATGGTTTATATACCTCAAACATATGTACTACAACCATCAACCCTGGACATTTACAAGGCGATCCCAGGCCGCTATTCTCTTGTTTAACGACCAGGATCGAATGTCCTCCTCCTTTTCCAAAATATAACTCCTCCTTTTAACATACTCTCTTAACGTGAGGATGGGCTCCTAAAACTCCCATCAATCTTTTTATACAAATATCTCTCCACACATCCAGTTCTTACAAGAAAAAGACGGCAAAGGAAAGCAGTGCCGTGAAATTCCAAGGGTAAAATAAATCTAGCTGCAGCAGAAAGTGCCAAACCTCAGAAATCCATGACTCTAGCAAGGAATGTGCAAAGGTCCCAGTCTAGTTCATCAGCTTATTTTCTTCTTTTTGCCATTCCTTCAGTGTTCCCCTACACATTTTGCCTTTGTGTTTGGAAGCTCAGCATTTTTTTTCTCAAGCAGTGTGGTTCCCTACATCCCCCCCACCGCCCTACCGACCTCCTTTACTTCTACCTGTCATGTCCCAAACCAACCCCACACCCAGTTTTTCTGTGTTCCTCTATTTTTCTGTATGGCTCTTCTTCTAAACCTTGAAGGTTGATGTAGCACCTGGAAGGGTGTTTTTTTTTTTTTTTTTACAGACCAGACAGATGCGAATTTCTCTCATAAGCTGTCATACAGCAAGGTCAGACTCCATCACATCGATGATGATAGGCAGATGGCAAGAGCAATGAATTTAAACAGAGTCAGAGTAGAGATGCCTTCAAGCAAAATGCAATGAAACCTTTAGTACTTCAAGTCTTTTGCTTGTTTTAAAAGTTACATGCAAATATCGAGTCTTGGTGCCTCTGCTTTATGAATGAAAGAGACGCTTTCTCTCACAGGTTACAGGGTGTACTGATTATTCTTAGTATCAGTATCAGTAATGTAGTCCCCTTGGAATTCACATACCTGTAAATCAGGAAAGCTGTGTGGAGAAAAATTAAAATCAAGTAATGTAAAATGTTAAATATTATAACAACAGATCCAAAATTGTAAAAACAGCCTCACACCTGTGGGTACGCTCAACGGGAAATACCATGAGGGTTGGATTGTATTGGATAACTGATTCAGATCTTGCTACTTGCAGCAGTCTTTGTGAAATGTCGTGTTGGGCTGACTTGGTGACAGGCTGATTTTCTTGTGATAGAAAACATGCATGTACTACAGCATGTAGTTTAAGGTTCAGAGAGTTCCAAGAGGGAGACTCAAAAGAGGCACTGCATAGAGTAAACAGTTGTATTATGGAAACTTTTAAACTAGACACACAAATACAAATGCAGGAGCTTTGATATATATAAATCACATACCATATAAAGAGTCTGCTGTGTGTGTGCCTTTTAAGTGACAAAATAGGGATAAGCGTTAAATGTAGATTTTAAGTGTCTTTCTGGGTGCTCGTATGTTTAAGTGCACATGCATCAAAAGTTCAGATTAAAGCAAAATTAAAAATATACAAATTTGGACAAAAAAATAAAAAAATAAGCACATTTTTAGTAAGCATTTTATTGTAAGTGTGTGGTTAGTTAGTAGGATTATCTCTGCAATCTGAATATATATTAGATTTGAAGAGGGCTTATCAACACTAAGAGGTCTGTGTGTGCACAGAATATCAAAAGCCATCTTAGTGTCTAAGTGATAATCAGATGAAATGAAACTCATCTTTACTTACCATTTATCAGTGTGCTCACATAGATGCAAGCAGATTTACACACCGAGAAGGACAACATACACACCTCAGTACTACACCCTCTGTCCCGGCTATTCACAGTTACAATCCCCTCTCTCTTTAACAAATATCTCAGCCTGCAGCTGCACACTCTCCATCAGCCCTCAGAGTTTACAAGGATTAAGTATGTCAGTGCACTTGCCCCACCCGTCTATATGCTTTCCCTCGAATAAACACACATACTTACACACCAGCACACACGTATAGATGCCAAAGCTGTTAAAAGCTGGATTAAGTGTTTCCCTGGAAGGAGCAGTGTGTCCTGGTTGTGCTGTCAAGGTGCTGTCAGACAGTTCTCCTCCTCTCGCCTCCTTTGCCCTCCACTTATTTCATAACTATGCTAAGAACAGAGTAACTGTGATTCAGATGCAGAGTAATATCTAGTTGCATATCTCTAGTGATATGATAATATGGTTGGTGATGGTAGCCGTTAAACAATGAGAAAGTAAAGGCAAAGTTGTATATTTTCTCTCATTTGGGCAATGATTTTTGCCATTGAATAGCATCTTGTTTAATTTAGTTTCCAATAATAATTACTTCTAACTGTGTGCCAGTGTTGTAGAGGTCACTGTTTCAACATCTGCAGCATGGCCCTCAAATTACGAGTGAATGACAAAGAAGGACAGTTTTTAACACCAGTACAGGCCTGGTATACTGTATCAGTTATGCCTCAGACAAAAAACAGAGTGACAGCAAATTAAGTGCTTAGCAGTAGACATGCCGAGGAAGATAGAAAGGGAAGCAAGGCAAAGGAAACAGAGGAGTAGAGGAACTTGAAGCTGCCTCTAAGCAACCCAGACACAGTAAATCATTACCACCATAAACCACAGAGCCAATAAAAAGCACAGCCTCACCCCACTATCAGAAGCAGAGGGAGAGGAGAAGAGGAGGAGCAGGGGGTATAGAAACAGATTCTCCCCATCTGGATTCATTACAGGAGAAAAAATAACTTCCCGCGGAAATACACACGAGTAAATGTACACACACACTCAGACGCATTCTGCAGCCATATAATCACAATCAAGAAAGGCTTGAACATTTCAAAGACAAACATGTTTTTTCCTGTGGTCTAATAAAATTAAAAGTCGATGCCTCAGATGCCGAGCTGGCCCTGGAGCTGCCTGGCAATTAGAGAGCAGTAAAAAAGGGAAATGAGAAAGGGAGTGAGGAGAGAGACACAGAACGAGAGAGGGGTGCGAGTCTTGATAGAAGGAGAGATGTGCTGAATTACTAGATTGGGACCATGTGAACTCCCTGAGGCAAAGCGGTGCATGGGCGAAGGATTGGCGAGGAAGATTGGCAAGAGAGAAAGCGACTAACCAAAATGGATGAGGACAGCAGAGAGGAAATTGTTTATAGTGTTTTAAATATAAGTGATGGAGGACAAACTACTATACTCTGATCAGAAATAGCAGAAATTATCGTGCTTTTGCTTGTTTTTGGTAAACATGTAAATCTTACTGGTCCTAATCTTTACTTAAAACGACAAATATCGATACACATTTTGATAAATTTAAAACCAGTAGAAAATTCCGATATGTTGATCCAGTGCAGTTTCTTGTACATTACTTCACACGGTCTTGTTCCACTCACAACCCTGGGCCTTTGCTTTAGAATGCCACCCCACCAAGCAGCAAACTGAATTAGGCTAACAGGAACTATAGACAATTGCCAGGATTCAACACTGTGGACTGAACTTCCACTGAACCTTACACTAACGGAACTCACTCTCTGACTGTCTATGTCTCCTGCCCAGCTCCCTCTCCAGTAGCAGTGATCAAAAAGGAGAAGACAACTCGAAGCAGTGTCTCCCTGTCCTGGCAGGAGCCAGAAAGACCCAACGGTATCATCCTTGACTATGAGATCAAATACTACGAAAAGGTTGGTTCAGTATATATCACTGTTAAAGTTTTCCTTGTGTGCATTTGCATCATAAAATGTGCCTCTCTAAGAGAAAAAAGATCTAACCCTAACTCATTTGGGGGAGTACACCTAAGATGGGAAGATTGTAAGCATTCTCTAAACGTCTGGTAAGAATGATGCTAAATTCAGAAGATAAACGCACATGGCATAGTAATTCGTGAGCTGCTTGTGAATAGATTCTAGTATTTTATTATTTCAATCCAGCTGTGTCTCCAATTTAGGCATCAAAGAGAAATAAATACCCTGAAAACTGGTCACTTGAATTTCCTGAAAATATTTCTCACCAGGGGAATAGACTGAAAAGGTTTACTTACATTTCCACCTTTTTAGGTCCATGTAGTATATCCATCAGTCTTTCTCTAACATTTGGAAGCACATCCTGGACTTATTCTCTGGCCTAGTAGACTGAATTTCTGTGAAAATAATAAAATTTAACTCAACTCTAACCCTTCTAGTCTTTGTAAATGTTATTCGAACTAATGTGAGTTGTAGTTTTGGGTTTTCAGGTACAATTTAAGTTAATATAAATTAAAATGAAATGAAAATGTAGTTGTCGTTATGTTGTGCATAATGTTTTATTTTTACAGTAAAAGAAATCTCTTCAGCAGAAGACCTCCCTTTCCACCATGTTTTCTTTTTCATGTGACAATTTTTACATTCTTCCTTTCTTTTTGCTTCTCTTCTCTTTCTATCTATCCTTCCATCTCTCATGCTGCCCTCCTCTCTAGTCCACTCCTTAATGGAGACAAGTTTTATGGCAGACAGTAAATGCATCTGTGGGGTCCCTCATTCTTCTGTGAGGGAAATTAGTGCAGAACGAATTACACTGGCTTTCAGCACCAATGCTGGGCTATGGCTGACATTTGATGGTGAAATTAGCCGTGGATGCAAGTTTAATCACTCTGGCAGATTCAGTGTGTGTGTCTGTGTGTTTGTGTGTGTATATGTGTGTGTGTGTGCCCCAAATCAGTTTGCTTGAATGCCAACAGTGGCCCCTAATCTCTTGATTAGTAGGCTGACAGAAGCTGTTTCCTCTCTAAACTCTGGTCTCTGCTCAGCCATCCCTACCTAAGATGTTAAAACAAGGCCGGAAAACAGTGAGAGGAAAAGTTAATGAGTGATGCTGGGTCAGAGCTCACTGCAGGTCTTATTCTCAGCTGTGGTTTTCCAATTGCACACACATGCTCACTTATCACCAATGCACGCTCGTTCAAAAAGGACAGGAAAAATATGAGGGTGGAGCTAAAGTAAAGCATTTTGTAATAAAGCCTTCTGGGTATTTTGCTTGGTAACCGCATTATCTTTCAGGAAGTGCTGGAGACACAAACACGCATACCCACAAAGCAAGTTCCCATAGGATTCTCCTCACTAGACATACATACCCAGGGATTTTAAACCCCTGACAAAAGGCTCTTCCACGCAGAAGAGCAAACTTGGAGAATCATGGTAGATCCCAAGACGAATGCCAGACAGAGGCCTCTTCTTGTTGTAGGCACAGGGACACTGAGGGCAACTAGCATGCCAAGGATAAAGGCCACAGAAGGAGAAACACTGGAACACGAATTCCCCACACCAAGACCACACCATGACTCACTTATGAGACAGAAAGAGGCTTTTAGAGACACATGCACAGACACACAGATATAATTGCACATAGACATAAACAGGATGGTGAAACAGAACACAAAAACAGACTAAGATTAAAGAGATTAAAAGAGAGAGCTTTTACCAAGGAAGTGATGTTCAGGTTTACATCAACAGCCAGACTTTTATATTTCTTTTTTTTTGCTGTGGTTTCCTGTCTGGATTTAAACAAGTTTAAAACAGACATTTGCAGTGAGAAGAATTCAGTAATCCAGTAGAAATTTACCAGTGACTCCAGCCTAGCATCTGTCACTGTAGAAACTGCAGTCATATCAAAAAATGCCGAGCATATAGTGCATAGAGTAATGGATCCTCAGTGGACCAACATATTTGGGGGGGGGGAACCCACTGAAGCCAGAAAGGAAAGTTATAAAATTACAGCCTTGTTGTTTTTGTTGGGTGATAAAATCAAATACTGTTTTATATAAACACTTCATAGTTTAATTTTGGACCATAACATATTTCACTGGTAAAATTTAAAAACAGGAGTTCTCTACTGGGATGTTAATGTGAGGCAAAACAAAAATGTTATTTGTCACAAGTCATTTCATCTCATATTGTGGGCTACCGCTCTAAATCCTGTGATTATTGGCCTTCCTAATGCACCAAATTGCAACGTATTTTCTGCTAACTGATAAAAATGTGTATTTTCCAGACATCTGTGTAAACTTAATAGACCACGTTACTTCAAGATAAAACCACGTGAAGCTAAGGCACTAAGTATAGTGTTAGCGGCTTGATTAAAAATAATCATATTCCTTTGATATCCAGTATTCAACAGATGTGAAATTTTATATATAACATAAGTGAAAAAAAGCACTGGATACAAAAAAGTGTTTTATTGCAGAATGGCAGGAATAATAATAAAAAGAGAGATACTTTTTTTTAATCCCAAAAGTTGAGGTTAGCAGCAGCCAAAACCTAACAAAAACAAACCAAATAAAACCCAGAGCTGTAAAAAACATCGCAAATATTGTGTCAACATAGAACTGTTCTGAAAAGTAAAAAAAAAAAAAACATTAAAGAGAGGCCTCAATAAATCACTATACATTGAGGAGCTTAAATCTAAAATGAATACTACCTGGTAGGGTTATACCAGACAAACAAGCCAACTCATTATAATTAAATGAACCACAGCTAACCAGTTTTCTACCTCTGGCTTTGCTCACTTTGCTCTCGCTAGCACACTTGTAAAACTGATGGGTCAGAATGTCTGAATTGCAGGGCCTGCACATTTTATGTCCCATATTTGGGGATGGGGAGGTTTTGTAATAATCTTGGGAATTTCCAACTAGAAGGCTTCCCAGAAGAAGAGAGGTGTTTCATCTTTTGGAAATCCCATGGTAGCTCCATGCTCTCCGTGTCCGTTAAACAAGCTAAAGGGCAGACCGATAAGACAGTTCCTAGTGCACTTTGTGGAAATCGAATTTGTGCGAATACACTTTGCTAATTATTTTTGCGTGTTTTATCACTATAATCTAAAGAGCCGAGAGCCGAGAGAGAACTCCAGATAAAATTAATTTAGGCTGTTTATTTAGTCTTAGACAAAAGGGATTTTTACTAAAACAATTCACAAGACTTCTGCTGTACATCACCCATCTTAGGATCTGTATGTTTTTGCCTCTGTGTCTTGTGTGTGTGTGTTTAAGCTATAATTTACTGCAGCTTTGTTTATGTTATCAAAGCACAATTCAGCACTGAGACCATATTAAATCCTTACAGCGTTCTGGTGTTCAACACACAAAAAAGTACATGGAGGCTCATGCACAGAACAGAAAGTCCACATGCA